AGGTCTTCTAACAACAAACCAAACCTCCTTCAGAGAGCTGACGGGACTGCTGCTGGAAAGCAAGCTTTTTGTTCACATCATCTGTATGACCTTCAAGTTTGTATGGGGATAAAAGACTGCTTCCAGTGATGATTACTGTTCGCCTAAAAAATAAAAACCCAAATCACTGCCTGAAACCCCATCCTGGACCTTGAAAAGCAAGTTCTGTGGCAACATGGCACCCCAGAAACAACTGAGTCAGACAATGGGACCTCATTAGCACCTGGGCCAAGGAACATGGCACTGACTGGGTGTACCACAATCCCTATCACACACCAGCCACTGAAAGATATAACAGACTGTTAAAGGTCATACTGAAAGGCATGTGTGCTGGGACATATAAGCAGTGGGATGCAAATTTAGCAGAAGCCACTTGGCTAATTAATACCAGAGGATCAGGTAACTGACCTGGCCCTGAACAAACAAAAACCCTGCATATTGTAGAAGGAGATAAGGTCTCTATAATGCATGTGGGAAACTGGCTGGGAAAGACAGCATGGTTTACTTCCCCTTGTGAACAGGCAGACCTGCTTGTGGGATTGCTTTTGCTCAAGGACCCAATACACTCGGTGAGTAATGCAGAAGGATGGGGAAAGCCAATATGTACCTCAAGGAGATTTAACCTTGGAGGGAAATAACCATGATTTGAGTTGTCTATTTTAGGAATCACTACAGCAGGAATTGCCTAAAGCAACAGAGAAAGAGCCTTGCAAAAGCTGAACAAGCGCAGCTGTGACCTAACCTGAGCTGACTCTGGTTTCCAGTAACTCAGCACAACATGCCTTTCCTGTTCAGAGCAACCACCATAACAGAGAGAACCCAAGTCATGGACTAAATGAACTCATATACACAATATGTGTGTATAAATCAAAGGATGGGAAGGGTGCATTGGATAGGGATGTATTGGATAGGGTAGTGCCCAAGCAGGATGTAAATGGTATGGAATAAGGGGTGGAGATTGTACTGGTCCTGGCTAGGATAGTTAATTTCTTTCACAGAAGCTCATACGGTGCTGCATTTTAGAATTTTGACCAAAACAGTACTGGTAACACACTAATGCTCTAGCTTTTGCTGGACAGTGTTTGCACAGCATCAAGACCTTCTATTTTTCAGATGTTGCCCCTTCAGTGAACAGATTGGTCAGTGTGCAATAAATAGGGAGGCAACACAACCAGGCAGATGACCCAAACCAACCACAGAGATATTCCATGCCATGTAACATCATGCTTATCAATAAAAGGGTAAAGAGGGGAGTTTAAGGAGGTCAGCCATATTTTTGCTTGGGAGCTATCTGAGCATTTGTCTACCCACAGGAAGTGGTGAGTGATTGCCTTTGCACCACTTATTTTGCTTTGTATTCTTCTCTCTCTTTCCATTTATCCTCCACTTTTTAAACAATTCTTTATTTTATCTTAACCTCCAACTTCTCTTGCTTTTATTCTTCCTTTCCTCCTTCCTTGCTACACTGTGGTGGAGGCAGGGGAGAATTGAGCAAGTGGATGTGCAGTGCTTAGCCTCCCACCAGGGTTAACCCACGATATATTTAATATAAATTCTCTCTTCTGTTTCAAAGTAGTATCAGAGCATTTTCTTTAGAAAACCCTTTTTAACTTTCAAAAAACAAATATCCACAAAACACCTCATATTTAAACTACAGAACCAGAAAATGGAGGAAAGGCAAAAAAATGAGGTAGGGTTCTGAAATAAACAGGGTTCATGTGTGTCAATTTGTGCCAGCTGCACAATTAAAGTATCACCTAGGTAAGAATACAACTTGCCAGACAACATACTAGGGAACACCCTGGACTTGAAGATATGTACTCTACCAGACCACATGCATATCTGTCAAGTGACATCAGTTGATTACAAGTAGCACAAATCATTACATACTTACCCCTTACAGTCAAACAAATCAGGCTTGTGTTTCTGTAAGTGAAATGTGAACTACAGAACTTCTTACTCACGGATTGAGTTTGTAACTTTTTGTCAAGTTGGTAAACGAGTGAAAACCCTTCATCTTCTTGGATTTCTCATGATAGGAGACAGCATGTTTCTAGAGCAAGCATTGAAACACCACATTTTTTTGTTTCACTATATTTATCAGTATTTAAAATTTTACAGCTAAAATTTTAATCCTTGTACAAGAACATGTGAAGGTAATCAGGAAGTACTCCAAAATTCAGACTCAAATGATTAGAACATCTTTTAATCTATAGTAAATACATCCCAGTGCTGAAAATCGCAGAGGCACAATCAGCTTTGCCTCTCCCTTCAGCCTCATTAGCAAAATTATTATTATTTTCTAGCTCATATCCTCCTTCAAAGGTCAAGCATGAAGGAGATGAGAGCCCCAAGAAGCTAATAACACCATCTGAAAATGCATTCCCACTATTTCTCGTCAGGTTAGATTTCAAAGTAAACTTCTGCATGCTTAGGAAACTAGGATGCCTTTATAGTCAGTGGAGACACTGGAATAATTGTAAACATGTAAGGCATGATATGTAAGATCTCTTAAGACACCTACCTTAAGTTTCCACTGACTAGGAAGGCAGTCCAGGACAACTAGTACAATGGACAGATGAATCCCACACCTGTTCTGTGTAGCAAAAAAAAAAGCCATCACAAAAAAAGCAAGCTAGTCAAGAATTACACTCAAATATGCCACTCTCAGTGATGGAGAAATATCCAACCAATATGCTGTTCCTTGTATCTACTTAAGCTCATCTGCTTTCCAAAAGTATTACCATCAGAGTCTCCACCGGTTTGCACAATCTTCCCCCCAGTCAACCCAAGTACAAATGCCCCTAATGCATGCAGGTATTCAGGTTAGTCACTAGCATCAGTCATCTGTTGAGGCAACTCTGCCTCCTCCCAAACACAGCAGTCACTTTTTTTCATTCACCTTGTAAAGTTTCCTCTGAATAATGGCTTATTCGATACCATTTCTCTCAAAATGTTCCACCTCCATGCTAAAACCATTATTCCACCACTGCTTCCAAAATTAAATGCTCACTCAGCTTCAATCCAATCCTCCAGCACCTGGAGAGGAGTCAGTCAGGAAGGAAGAGCCAGTCCCCAGCCCAGAGCTGCTCTGAACTAGTTGTTCGCAGCACACTGTCTGTATCAACTCAGCAGCACAAGGCTTTTCTTTCCATCTAGATGAACCAAGCTGACAGGCAAGCAGAGAAAATGTGGCTCTAATCCAGATCAGTACTACACAGCTGGGCCTCCAGACAGCAATTCAAAACAGGCACCTGTGAACATAGTCATTTTCCTGACCAGCAGATGAAAACTCACAGGGAAAGAAATAACAGAAAAGCCCTCCTCATTCATTCCAGCTTGTATCTACAAACAACTGCTTCATATTCCATTTTAAAAAGGATATTAAAGTGTTATTTGCTGAGTGGAAGCTGTTACTAGGTTCCACTCAGTCCAAAGTAGCACAAGCCTTTTCTAACACCACAGCATCATTTCTTAATAGCTGATGATATCCAGCAGTGAAATAGAAATCACGGGTCAACCAAGCTTACACTTTCAGAAACACCCACTGCAGCATGTGCACAGAGTGAAAAAGAAATAAAATAGAAACAAAATTCATCTGCTTCTACGTTGAACTTTCCATCATAATTTCCATATCCCTCCTTTACTTAACTTTTATGAGCATGCCAAGAATGTAGACTTTTTTCTGATTATTTATGGAAAATGGGTTTATATACACCGATAAAGTTCCTGTAACTACAAAAACCATTTGCTTTGGGAGAAGAGTGGCAGTTGTTTTCTGTTCCAAGCAGAACATAAATAATGCAAGTCAAAAATCAGGAAACTAATTACAGATCTTAAATTTCAGATCATGGCAACTACCAGTTAAAGAACAAATTATTTCTGCAGTTTTGCATCATAAACATTCTTTAAAATTGAAATCTGTCCATGGACAGTTCACAAGCAAGACCAAAACTGATCAAAAATTAACCACAGAATCAGAGGAACAGTAACAACAGTAGAAAATAATTTAAGGTATAGCATAAAGATCTGATAGGGGAAGCGTCATGTATAGAAAAGTCCTGCTTAACTACTATTCAAGTACATGGTTACAACAGAAGGAAATGCTGAATCTGAAGGGCCCTACTCCTCCACAACTGTTTATGGAAGACTTGAGTGTTGCAACACTCCATGGAGTTGCTTAAAAACAAGTCAGCAGCCGCTTAAGCAGGTAAAAAAATACTATGACGGGAGATTTTGGATGACATTCAGTAAGACTGGCTGCAGACCAGAAGCAAGGGGACCCAGCATATTGAGGGCATCACCTGAGAGAGGCAGCTGATTCTCAGCTCTGGCTTTGCTGAGTTTACACAACTTCTGGGTCCTGCTAAGCTCTACTTTAATTTGAGAAAGAACAGTGTAATATGGCACATCACTCATGAAAGATTACAAACCCCGGCCATAAGAAAACTATTATGGGGTATGGTTTGTTGTTGTTTTGGTTTTTTTTTTTTAGCCTTTATCTAATCCCTCTTTGAGTGATGAAAACACTGCCTTACTTTCACACTGATGGTAAAAAGTCTATTTTTTTCCATGCACAGCAATAGTCAAAAGCAGAAACAATCTTACATTTTTGTACCTATATTTTCATAAGTAATAACTCTAATACCTTACTCCTGTATACTACATGTCACCCTAGATATGTATTAGGTGTATATATACTCTCCAGTAATATGATGCAAAAATCCATGATAGATTACAGTGGAACGTGATAAATTTTACATAACATAGACCATCTCAACATAATTCTGCTTCTTAAGCTACCTTCCTGCAAACAAAAATCAGGCTCAAGGCGTCAGTGATAACCCCAGTCCCACAAGCTCTGTAATGGAAGCAGACACAGAACCCATCTCTGGGTGCCAGAATGTTCATTTTAACATTTTCCTTCCCAAAACTTATCTATGTTATGAACCGATACTCACCTTAATATGAAATGGTACATTTTAGCAGTCACTGAAGTGTGTGAAGGACATCTGTATACCCAAGAGAAATCTAAAACCTCAGATTCATGAAAGCTGAAAAGAATGGTGTTCTAAATTGTTCACCTATTCACTATGCCATGGCAACCTTTGTTCTTTCCACCCCTTACACGTTCAGCATTTATCATAGAAAAAAATCTTTAATTTTACAAAGCTGCTGTACCCCTAATATTTTTCATAAGTACCACAGTAATTTCATACATTGCCATCAAGTTTATCAATGCAGCTAGCAACATATATGTCTGCCCTTTAAAAATTATACAATAGGCTGAAGAAAGTGACTCATATCTTTAAGAATGCAGAACACTGCATTTGCTGTCTTGGATATATTTTCCAACATTGAATTATATACTGTTTTGCAAGGGCAAATAGAAATGCCAGAGACTTGTCAATTAACCATGTAAAATACTTTTTTTAAAGTATCATTACATAATAAACTTTGGTAATTGAAACAAGACTCTGAATACAGAACAAATGGGTAGTATTAATTCATACCTCTTTGTGCTGTCAGCAGTTAACCACATGACTAATACCACATGTAGCTTGAAGGAAGAAAATGTAGTTTTTTGCCTCTGCTGAGTTAATCTGCGTTATTATATGTTTGTGGTTGATCTGTTTAGAAAACAAGAATGTATAAACTGTCTTGCAAACCAAAACAGAAGAACCACAAAAGCTTTTATTAAGTATTCATTTTCATAACATGTTTATCTTTTGCATTTTCACTGCCTCTAAAAATATACTGTCCATGATATTTGTAGTGCATAATTGATACCAGTCTCTCAGCTATGCCATATTATTTTAGCACCATGTAACTTGAGATGGAAATCTTATGTATTGTTTATTTTGAAGTACAATCTTTAATAATTAGCTCCATGAAGACTGTTCTCTCTGTTGCTGATCTTGCCATTCAAAGAGGGCACAAAAGGTGTTGAAACGGCCTATCAGTTGACAGTCATAACATTTGACAGAGGAGTGCTTGCTAACATTGCTTACATTATTTTTTACAAATGATTTTACTCATTAGGGTTATTATATTCTTATATCTTGAGCTATTTGTTGTTTGACTCGGTAAAGGAAGCACTGACATACCGATTCCACCTTGTGAGCGCAAGCTACCAGTCATCAGTCTGATGTATCTATTGCAGTAACACATCAATTTGACTTACAGCACCCTTGCTAAAATATGCTGCAGAACAAAGTGATAGCTTTGCATTTATAAGGAAAATGGTCTGCAGGTCTTCACAGAATTCATAAATGCCAGTATCCTTAATACATCACTAAAATGCAGAAGCCTAACTTAGAATAGTTCATTAAATATTCAAAGTTCATAAATGTTTTTCACCATGTTTCTGCATCACATAAGGTGGCCACAGCAGACACAGATTTAGGAGTGCATTACCATACCTTTTCACTAAAGGGACAAAATACACTAGAAGTAAGTGTCCAAAGCCATAAGCCTATTCAGTCCCCTACCTGGAATTATCAAAGGTAGAGTTCATTTTCACAGACATGAATTGTATAAGATGTCCTTCCCTCTCCTATGTAGTAAATGAGAAAAATTACAACTGTATTACGTAATCATACTTCAGCCTCTGCATCTATCAGGAAGAAAGCAATTATGCAGTAATGGGATATATTCTTTCCTGATGTGGAATCCTGATCTCTGAATTCAAACTCACGCTTTTATTCACATTCATCAGGACATATTCTTATCTACAGGACATAAAACAAAGCTAATATATTTCATATGAAAGTAATGGAGATTCACCTGAAATGCAGTTCCTCTTAAGAGTTATTATAATATAGCCTCATTCAGAGAAAAGCTGTACCTTTGCACTAACTTCACACATATTAACTTCATGGCTAGAACGGCTGATTGCAAAAAGCATACAAATGTACAGATTTTCAGCACAGCCTGGCATCTGGCAGTCCAGTGTTATTTTATAAACTGTAGTGTTCTTTTTGTTCCATATCTTTAAATAATAGATGGCAAACATTACTATTTCTGCAATGAAAAATTGCTATTGTCAGCTACCAGCCTGATGGCAACACAACTGCTCAAATATGACATTCTTTTCTATTGCTTTACTTGCTTGCACCTAACTGATTAGCAAGCTGTTTTTTTTTGCTTTTGAAAAGAAAGGCATGAGTCACAGAAGGAAAATAATAGGTTATTGGGGGTAATTAGTACCAGTCTGGTTTTGCAACTGCTGCCATGACCTCTAGGAGTTTTTAGCAGGATTTTTTTAATACAAAATTACTGTAAGTTTTGATATTTGAAGAGATAAAAGAAATATCAGCATTATCTGTATTTCACTGAGAGCTTAAAAAAAAGGCAGCAGCTGTATCTGTACAGAAGGCCCAAAGAAAGACCAGCCTATTAAAGAAGTAGAAAATGCTAGCATCTACTACAGCAGTCCTTTTTCCTGTACTGCTACAAACACTTAATGATAAATAAATTACACTGATATGAGGCCACGTAAAGTGCAGGTTTCTTCAAACTTCCTTCAGAGACACTAAGCTGACAAACTATTTTCTTCTACAAAATCTGGGCTGACAAAACTGGGAGGAGTTACACCAGGCTAAATAAGGAAATTTGGTTCCCTTCCACAGTAATTCTTTGGGGAAAAACCAGAATTACTCTTCAGACACATACAGAACATTACTCAAAAACATTGCAGAAGATAATCTGGAAAGCAGGCAACTACAGTGAGCTTTTCTTGTGCAAGCACATTCTTGGGCATGACTTTACACAAGATAAAGCATAACCAACATATTAGCCTGTCTACTGGGATATAAATCCAAACACAAATACATACACATGCCTACATGGCACAGCTGAGGAAGAATGGGACTCCTTTTAATCAGTACTATTTTGGATCTAAAATCACAGATGTACTGGCCACTCAAAGGTTCAGCTCCAAGCAGCCCCGGTTCGTCTTTCATGTGAGAAAATCACATGCAAAAATACAGAATTAGAATTTTCTGATAATGTGGAAAAAAAAATGAGCCAAAGGTGTCCACTGTCTAATTGTGAGACATGTTACCACGGGAACCAATTATCCCACATGCCTCACCTTAGCCGCAAAACAAACCCAGTAATTTGTCTGAGATTTTCACAGTACATCTTCTACAGATGTTTTGCGATTAGCAGCTGGATGCAATCATCAATCAGCATCTAGATTAGAATTCCTGCAGCAGTCAATGAGGAAGATGAAAAAAACCTTATAAAACCGACCAAGAAAATGACTCAGTTTGGAGGGCTCTTACATACACACTCAGCCAGCAGAAGTTATTAGTTTCAAGCTGTAAGAATTGGGGGCATATAATTTCATTTTGGATTGCAGATGTTTCTTCCACAGTTTGTTTTCCCATTGATCTTAATGTCATCTGGCTTTCTTTTCTTTAATATTTTACTATGTTTCTTTGACAACTAGGCACTTCTATGATTAGCTTAGTTCAGTTTAGTTGGGCCAAATTATAACAGGCAAAACTCCCACTGACTTTAAAATTGAGCAACAGCTTTAAGATTATTTTTCCAGAAGATTAGATCAAATTTGGCTCTAGTCATGCACATTTTTTTTTCCTTAATTCCTTTTTCAAATCTTCAACATCTGCACAGAACATGGGTGGACCTCCTTCATCATTTTCAATGGGATTGAAGCCTATTGCTTCTGTTTATAGGATTTTTTATGTAGAGACGAGATGTGTAAGGATACAACTGAGTAAGTGTGAAGAATAAAACACATATAACACATATAGGCAACCACTTCTCTTTAGTGAAAGGAGTGTCTTTGATGGAAGATCACTTTCTAGGCTCATTTGCTATCACTGTCCCTAACAACATCGAAGAGACACTGATCAGCTCTACTCAGAGACATAAAGATGCTCTCTGCACTGTATCTTTCCCCATCCGAAACCATGCAGAATCCCACCCTCATTTTGATTTCCTGATACACTTGCCTGAATGATGGCCACAGGGTTATGTTCTTTAGTGGCATCTGCTGCTCAGTGCCCCAGACACACAATGTGCATCTTCTGCCTAAAAGAAAATACTTCTGGGAGCCAAGTAAATTAAGCATCAACTCTAACATTTCAATCAAAGAAAGGAGATGACCTGTGACTAAGTATCTATGCCACGATCAACTTCACTCTTTCAGTAGGGACCTCTTGATTATTTCTCTGTATTCGTACAGCCTAAGAATTTTTATTGCAGAAAAACTTAAACAAGCCCAAATCTATGATAAGGAGATCCACATACATCTAAGCAGAGGTGCTTGGTGGTATCTCAACAAAAAGCAGATGTGAATGTCAGAGAGCAATGCCATTAGCCCTGTCGCTACCACTGAAAATACTTTATTTCTAGATAAAATAATATAATAAAATCAGGAAAGGTGAGAGGATTATGCTACGGTATAGTTCAGTTTGGGTAGGTTGGGTTTTTTTAACTGATGTCTTTGAATGGAGTTACTGGATGCCCTTGTTAAAAAAAAAAAATAAAATATATATAGTATAACTTTTTGTCTATAAGGAATGCAACACAGGATTAACCAACAGCAAAAATTAAAGTTAATCCAACAAGACAGTATAATGTACTAAAGGTTTCTAATTCATCAAAGTTCTTTATATATGCCTCTTTTTTGGTACTAAAGCTTTATAGATCTGTACTACTTAACCTCTATAGGGTTTGTTCTTACAGCAGCAAATCAACCAGAAATGCATACATGGAGTCCAAAACATTTTTTAATGGATTTTTCAAATTAATCTTCTGGGACTTTTGTGTGAGCAGATACAGTCATTATAGGGAAGCACATGGTATTTCATTCATTTATGTTTAAAGACTGAATGTTTTATCAAACTTTGTTTAAAAGATTGTGATAAAAAAAAAAACATGAAAAATCATAGTAGCCCTTGAATTAATATTAAATGCAACTGAAAAACTAACAATAACAATTGGCATTTGTGGAGGACAGCTGCAAAACTTTTGGCTCAAT